TTACCTACCAACCTCCATACGGAAATCATCATCCTTGACCTCATTTAAACACAATATATTTTTCCATCTCCTCTGTAATCAATCTTCCGAATATATGTAAAAATAAAGTTATTTTATAATTTAGAGATGTTATGTACATTATACTGATATCTTGCAAATATCTATGTATGTGCCATATTACTTACATGTACAAATATGTGAACTCATTCGTATGTATTTATCTCTAAATTACTATATCTACTTAAAGATCATATATTTACTACAATGTCTTTTCTTTATTTCAATATTAAGGTTAGACTAATTTGTAAATTAATTTATTTTTAATTTTCATTAAATTATTCATAATTTCCAGACAATTGTCATTTCGTTGTTTATTATAGTTATTCTGAGGGAAACAAATGTCCCAGAATAAAATTCACATTCTTTCTTTCTTTCTTAATAAGAGCATTTCTGGAAAAAAACGATTGATAGTGAGAGGGCTATTGCAGTGTTAATAATTTGGTGGTAGCTCCTTAATGATAGGAGGCAAATGAGATCTAATTATAATCTCTATTAATGGAAAAAATAAGTTTTTGTTTTATCGTGGAAGTATCATAAATATCATTATCGATGGTGTTTAAAATTTGTTGTAATGCATATAAAATAAAATCTTTATTATTCCATAATAACTATAGTAAAACGAATATTTTTAATTGATAAAGGATACTTATCCACAATAATTTGTTTTAGTTATTATATATAAGTACATTATAAATATATTTTGTGTTATTACAATTTTTTTTTTTTTTAAATAAAAATTATCAGTAGAATATAGAAAGTAGTTATGGGTTGATGACCCTAGCGTTTTACACCTTAAAGCCTAAACAAACAAACTATGCTGAAACTAGTAAAAATATAAGAAAAGCAGGAATAGGGTAAGCACCAGTAATAGAAATAGCTAAGAAAATTTTGTCTTTTTGCCTCCACCAGCGTTACTTATTTTAGTTAAGAACTTCTCTATTGAATATTTAGAACCTCCTATTCATATCCCATGCCTTAAAATTGAAAAACTAAGCGGTTTTTAAAGTAATCTCCAGTTTAACAACTTTTTGCACCAGGTATGGACACCCAAAAATCCTATTGATCTAGTGATGGACAGGGTGGCGTTACAAGTCAGTGTTGAGCAAAATCTATCTTAAACAGTAGATAATACATAATGAATAATTTATCTATTATCTTTTTATAAAATTTATCCATTATCTTTTTTTCGAAAAGTGGGGTAACTATAGTATAGTTGGATGATGATAAAAAAATGGCGAATCATTTATAGTTTTTTTTAAAACAGTACTTAGCTTAGTTTAGCCGATCAAACTCCTCTGTAAATGGTTTTAAAAATAATAAGCTCTATGTTCATTTAAAGTGAATTTCATCTTGTTTACAAATAAGCAAGTATTAATTAATTTAATTAAATATTTCTTTAGTTATTGCTTTGGACTCAATGAAAAACATGACTCACATAAAAAACCACAAAATTTGGATTGCTACCTTTTTTCCGAAACTTGGCCCATTGTTTATATTAACCATTTTGTTGGCTCTTGAGGTATGCTATTATTCCTATAAAAATTTCCCTCTACTTACGGGACACCCGGTATATATACGATATATTAATTATAATATTATATATATAATATTATTTATGTTATATTGTGATATAATTATAATTATGATGAAAAGAAAAGGACAATTTAGGAACAATATAATAAACAATGAAAATATTAAAAATAAAAGACTCATGTGTTGGACTTCTATGAAGCTAGACAAGTTGAATGTATACTATGGTTACGAATTAGCAATAAGAATAATTATAATTATATAATAATATAAATAAAATTTTATTATAGATATATAAGATTTTTAAAGGAATTAAATTTTTTTTTCCGAACTGTGGTTTTGTTCATATTTTATGTTGGAAAAAAATTATAATTACAATTAAATTAGAGTTTTGCAAGCTGAGCAACGAGTAATACAATTAAATAAACAGGGGATACACCTCTAGTTTAAGATAAAATTAGATGTGAATGTGTTTTATATATTTCAATTTCATTTAGCTTTTCTCTCTTTTTTTTTTCCTATGTATGTTAAACTATTTTTCTTTTATCTCTATTTTAGTTATCATTTGTACGTATATATTGTCTGAATATTTAATGTAGCCCTAATATTAATGCCCTCCAATGCGGCAGAATGTATTAATTTTCAAATAAAAAAAAAAAGATAAAATAAAAATTAATATTTTATTATTTTGCTTTTAATGCATGCATCGTGCCGTTTAATGCACAAAACGGCTTGAATTCAAATTCAATACGCTCAAAAATATAAAAAAGAAAAAGTTTAAACAGTACCCTGTAAGTTTTTCAATAAGGCGAGGGAACTCCAAGCCAGACTTGTCCCTCCAACAGTGGAGAGAAAAGCAAGACTTCGCGAGATCCATACACTATTCTCTCAACCGCGTCACTGGTGCTAAACCCAGTGAAGATTGAGCGAGAGCACTTTAGCCACATACACTCATGTCGTAAGTAGAGAATCTAGTCACATACAAACTATGAAAGGTCGCGGGGCCATTGCCGTTGTAACCTTCTTGAAGGATTATAGGAATAGGTGGTGCTGGATAGGGATTGTACAAGGGGATTTGGATGATAGAGGTTCTGGTATCAGTTGGAGATTTTTTCTGGGATAAAGTCTAGGACAAATATGACATTAAGGTCATGGTGTAGGGTTTAGTTAGTTACATATAAAGGAGCAGCGAACATTGTTCGAAGGACTTTAGACTGGGAGGATTTTATGCGTTTGATGTTCGAAAGTTTTGATGTCCCTCACAGTTGAAGTCTCTAAGTCCAAACAGGATTCAGGATTGCCTTGTAGATCAGTAATTTATTTTTAATAGAAAGTTTAGATTTTCTATTTAGTAGTTTGTTTAGTTGGCCGTATCGTCGGTTAAGTTCCCGTCTTGTAAGTCTAGTATGAGGATTCCACGTTAGTCGTAAGTCTAAGAGAAACCCATATATTATATATATATATATATATATATATATATATATATATATTATTATTATTATGATAATAGATGGTTATGAAATAGGTAATATATTATATAATATCTGAACAATGTAATGTCTACAATACAAAATAAATATGGATTTTAAACAATTTATTGGTATCTACCACGAATATGTTTACATTTATTTTACGTGAAATACTCATATTGGATGAAATAATTATTTTGTACGACACACTTATTATTTAACATAAAATACGTAATATAAATAGCAATTGATAAATTAGAGCAATAATGTCAACAAATACTTTGTTTATAGATTATTTGATTTCAATAAATCAAAATAAAAACAGAACCACGTTTTAAAATATTGCTTACATTTGAATTAAATACAATATTTTACTTTTGGTAGTCAAAGAGATGAAATTAGTAAGTATATCAGTAGACAAACTTTTCTAGTTCCTCTAGATCTATTAGATCTATCTAGTCAATGGTGGATAATAGCAGAGTTATATTTAAAAATTTGTTAATCAATTCCGATTATAAATGTACAATACCACAAGAAACGGAAAGTTGGCGTTCTAAATGTATATAGAATATATATATATATATATATATATGAAACTTATATTATTTAATTTATAATTATTTTATTGGTACAACAGTGTGTAATATGCTATCGTAAATTTAATATTTCATATGTACTCGCATAACTTTTAAAAAGAAAAATATTACGTATTGAATTAAAATCAAGATAAAATAAAAATTAATATGTTATTATTTTGCCCTTAATGCATGCATCTTGTCGACCAAATGACTGGAATTCAAATACAGTACTCTCAAAAAACATAAAAAGACAGAATTTGAGCATAATATTGCAATTTCCGAGTAAGTTAGAGCTGACATCCAAGAAACCTTCCGCTACTATTGTACAACGGGAGAAAAACCAGAGTTAAAATTTGGAAGTTTGCCTTCATTGGTAGAATTAATAGATTGTAAGCATAATATTCATACATATAATATGCGAATTCGGATGGTATATGTAAACTTTTGAAAATAAACCTCTCCTGCATAGGATTACTATGCAAGAGAAAAAAGCAATTACTTTATTTGATTTATAATTATTTTATACTAGAAGATTATAGTGGTACAGCACTAATATTTCATATGTACTCACATAACTTTGAAAGAGAAAAATATTACCAAGATGAAATATTTTGCTTTTAATGTATTCATCTGGTCGACTAAATGGCTTGAATTCAAATTCAATATCCCAAAGACATAAACAGAAAAAATTTGAGCAATATACTGCAATTTCCGAGTAAGTTAGAGCCGATGTCCAAGAAACCTAACACTATGTGCCGGTTGGAATCCAGCCTGAGCAAATTGAAATTTATTTCGTGGTGGACCCATTGAATGTCTCTCGATCTTTTCACTTTGGATGGAATAGGTTGATTCAATTAAGAATAATTGAACAATTGAAACAATTAGTACCGATTAACATATTTTTACCTCTAATTTAGTGTCATTTTTTACTCCGTCTGAACATTTGGAAAATCTGTATTAAATAAACGTCCACTTTGTAAAGGCATACTTAAACAATCTTTAGATTTTTCTATTAAACATATAAATTATATAGAATAATCTCAATAAACAAATGAAAAAATATTAATTACCATTTTCTAAATTCATTCATCTCATTAATTCTTACAAAGTTATATTACTATATTACATTTTCCCAATAAGAAAGACAACTTTTTTTTTAAATAACCCAGTCTCCTATTATTTCGATATTTCTTAACTAATAATTTAGTTCACTAATATAAAAATTTATATATATATACTTTTTTTTAAATAGTTTTTGAACAGAGGAGTCAATTATATTATATAAGTTTTTTCAGTAGACATATTAAACTTTAGTGGCTGTGATTTAGCTAAAGAAGATTTTTGTATCAATTAATTAAAAATTTTAGTTCCTTAGTCCTATAGATAAAATATAAATAATAAACTAAAGAACAATAAAATGTTTTATTTTCTTACTTATAAATGACATGTTCATAAACAGCTTACATAATATTTAGCTAATCTAAACATTATGCAAATCATAGCATTTTTTATTTATTTATTTTAATTTAGCATACATTATTTTACTTGGCAAAGGTAGAATGTAAATAAATAAGAATAGAGACTATGTAGCTCCAACGATGAGCTTATTCTTTCATAAGAAACCTTTCTCTGACACATTTAGTAAGGTCTCAACTTTGAAAGAAAAAAAATTATATAAATATATATATATATATATATATATATATATATATATATATATATATATATATATAAATTACTTTTTGAAAAATGAATGTTTTTATAAGTATTTTCTTTATTATAGATATTAATTGCCGTTTTGCCGTTTACGTTTTTTTTTTTTTTCATTGAATACAAATTTATCAAGAAAACTGCTAAGAATTATAATTGTAAATGTTTTCTTTGCCATGTTTTGTTCATTCATAAATCTATATTTTATCATACACACTTCCTCAATATATGCAGCACTATGTTATAAGACTTGCTGCATACTTCTGTTTTACAACCGCACGAACTATAAAGTTATATATTTAAAATAAAGTAGTTGATTATTTATAATGATACAATTGTATGAACGAAAGTACCAAGCCTTGGATCTCTAAAATACATACAAGTATACAAAAAACTAATTAGTCCACGTTCCGCAAAATCAGGCGATACCTTTATATAATAAAAAGATGATACTAGTGTATACTAAATATAAAAAATCTCAACAATGATGAAGGAAAAAAAACAGGCATCGACTAGAGACAGTGGTTTACTTCATGAAACACCTAAGCACTTCAAAGATGTGTTATAAATTAATTAAACCTTTTACTATGTAACTTTTATTATGTAATTCTACCAAGAAAATGCCTTAATGAGAGAGACGTTGACGGGTTAGTTGGTTCTTTACCTGTTTCATATTAATCATTTTATTTATTCGTAGTAAACAACATCCTTAGAATCAAGTAAAATATTATAAATGGTATGAAATTTCTCTTCTTTCTAAGCTAGAGTTTCTTGGGCATCAAAACTACAAAAATGAAAGGAATATAATTTTTTTTTTGCTTCTTCCAGGAAAAAACTGAGAAATATTACGGCCTTCCGTTTCATTTAGTCTCTATGTTTCTAATTGCAATTAGTTGCCATTTACAAGCAATTTCACCAACTTGAAACATCAACCCTAAAAGTACTTGGTATCGGAATATATACTTTTTTAGGTTGGTTGGGGATTAGTAAATTATTGTTTAAAATTAACTAGTACTGCTCATTTTCGCTAACATTCGCATTTTAAACTGAAAACATACTGTATTAATTTTATTTTAAACATATTATGAAACATAAATTTAAATGTTTTAAATACAAAGGAAAAAGTAAATGTCTTTTAAAGCTTTAAGTGAGTATTACAAAAGGTATTCTTTGCCATTCATTCGAGTAAAAAAAAACGGGAATGTTTTATTTTTAAGAAAAGCTTGAGTACCGTTTCCTCTATTTTCCTCGGTTAATAAAAATATTATATAATAGAACTTTTACGAAGGTTTTTATAAAAAAACGATACTACTATACGTTTGCTAGTACAGATCGGAGTAAAAATATAATCTAGAAACAGAAATCCAAGAGTGAGGATTGTTTTGATGTTCTTACCAATATTTTAACTAATCATATTAATTAACATACTTAATACTACTTGTTTTAAACCAAGTTTAAGCGATTAAATATTTGTAAAAAATGATCTTGTTTCAAACTGACGGTAATTTCATATTTATTTTTTAATTATTGCTACGATTTTAGTATATTGTCTATCTTATAGTTGATCTACCGTAAATATCAAACAAAAAATTTAACAAAGAATCGTTTTAAAGTTTTATAACAAATGGAAAACTTGTTCATAAACGTACAAAATCACTACATATTAAAATATTTTTAAAAATTCTATATTCATAAAAATGGATAAGAATTCAGCCACGAGATGTAAATACCATCACCTTGAGGACCTTCCTCATAATGTTAAGTTTCTACAGCAGTCAAACAATTTAATAGCGTTTCATTTGGCGTTCTAATTAATTTGTTGCACTACATAACTAATAAATTATGAAAAAATCACTTCATTATGGGTTAGTATTAATGTTTAAGGAGAAAACAATTTTACATAGTATCGGGGTAAAATACAATTTTCGTAGTTGGAATTCCTCAGTATTTTAAAACAAGATGGTTTTAATTTATGTCGACTATGTTACCAATATCAAATCCCTTGATATACATCACTACTTAGTAAGAGAATTTGAAGCCTCAGTCCATCAATATTTTACTTTTTAAAGTAAATATTTTCAATAATTCTAAACAAATGCTTCAAATTGAAATGTATTAAAATACCAAATAATATAATAAAAAATAAGACGAAATCGGTTTTAGGTAAGCTTATATGTTTTAATTAATGTCTCTCATTTGAGTTTTTTAAATAATAAATACCAAGTATTTTCAAATGGTTTAATACTATTGCTAATACTAAACAATTCCAATATTTGACTTTAATTCAAAAAATATTTTCCATCTCAAATTAATTTGATTTGTAAGATGTAATAGTTCTACTTTTTTTTTTTTTTTTTTTTTACAATTATTAAATAAGTTGTATTAATTGTAAATAACACAATTAAAAATAGTAGAATAAATGTAGTAACAAAAAAAAATCATCTCAACTTCCGTTTTAAGAATGAACCATGCACATTTTTTTCCCATAAATTTGCGATTTTAATTATTTCCATTAGGCCTGTGAGAAATAGACACAGTTTCTAAACATATGGTAATTATTATTTGGTATAAAATCTATCCAAATTAAACCACCAATGTCACCGAAAAAGATGACAATAAAAAAAAAATTGCTTTATCTAAACTATAAAGCTCACCTGTGTCATCATCTGAGTCCTGTTCGGCCCAATCTGGTGAAGCTCTAGCGGCAACAAGAAGAGCCGTTGTGAAGAGGATGATGTTCATGCTGCTATCATGCCGCGTCTAGATCGACAAAGTGAACGAGCTAAAGGCGTACAGCCACCACGGCAGCTGGGGGTCGACTGAACCACCCCCAACGCCCCCTCCACCGCCCGCTCTTTGTTTACCTCCCCACAATGGACTGTCACTCGGGGTTCCTTTAATAAACTCACTTTCCTACATAGCCCGCGCTTTCATAGCCACCTTTTTCCCAAAATGATATTCCTCATCCCTACCCTATCCCAATCCTACAAACTAATCTGAGCAGATAAGCCAAGAAAACTTTCTCCTCCATCCTCAGTGAATTATAAAAAAAACATGACAAAAATTTTACATTCAAATTCATCTGATAAAAAAAAAATCATTAGTTATTATAAAACTATCTCTCAGGTATTGTCACCCAGAACTATGTTTCCTGTCTGTTCATCGCTCTTCTTATAGTCCTTTAATTAATTTTCCAATTCATACAGACATATCATGTTTAGTTTCTTTAACTCTTTTAGGTTTCTGGTCAGGTTTGTTCTAGCTGTCTGGCACCCTAGTTGCTGAAGTTGGACGAAATTTAAGACCTAAATAGGCTCAGCAAACCAAATAGCTTTTAAACTACAGCTTTTCACAAAATTGACAATTTTTTTTTAGCTGAAAATTTTAAACTACAATAAATTTCATGTTTTATCAGTACCTAGGACTCCATCTGGACAAACGTCTAACTTGGAATCCTCATACCAGACTGAAACGACAAGAAACAGCTCGATGTTTCCGTCTACTTCAACACTTACTAGACAAACGCTCTAACCTTCCAAGTAACTATAAAAGACTAATTTACATGACTATAATAAGGCCTATTTGGACTTACGGAGTTGAGCTATGGGGCTCCACCAAACCTTCAAATTCCTCTCGCATCCAATCCTTACAATCCAAAATACTTCGTAAAATCCTCAATACTCCTTACTTTGTTATAAACAAAATCATTAATGACCTTAATGTTCCTTATGTATCAGATTTGGCCCAATCTAGATATCTGTCCTTCCATAATAAACTTCATAACCATCCCAACCCTCTTGTTTCTAACCTTGCTTCCTATTCAATTCCTGATAATCCTCCGAGGCGTCTGAAAAGAAGATGGCCACGTGATCTCCTAATATAGACATATTATTAGAGTGCTACCAATGGGTAGTTTCTCAACATGTGTTTCATGTCATTATATCCATGTGCGAATTTACCAGATGTATTTTTTGTATACAGTTGTAAATATCATATAAATAAATAAATAAATAAAAAATGTTTTATCATAAGTGTAAATGAAATATAAATTAAAGGTGTTTCCTTCGCATGGACGGACTAATACCATGCAATCAGCCAATTCACCTCCTCCATTCAGTTCATTCAATTCATCGTCCCGGACTTACATTCCAAGGTATAACCCGGTCGAGCAATCCTAACATTGTATTTTATTAATAATAATAAAAGGCTTAGCGAACCCGAAGGTTCGATGCCGACACCACCAATCGCTTATTACACACCTCCCTCCACCGTTCTCCGTCCAAACCCAGTCCCTTCAGATCGGCTTTAATGCAATCTTCCCACCTTCGCTTCGGTCTACCCCTCGGACGCTTACCATTCGGCACCGCACATATTAACCTTTTAGGAATTCTCTCGTTACCAAGCCCAACAACTTTACAAGCCCATTTGCTTCGCCGCGATGAAATTACCTCAATTATATTACCCGGATACAGCTCACGCAATTTGGCGTTGTGTAACCGTCTGAACTATCCGGTTAACTCATCCTTCTTCGGTCCGAATATTCTACGCAATACTTTACTTTCAAAAACCTTAAGACGCTGCTCATCCCTTAATGTAAGCGGCCAAGTTTCGCATACATAAAGAACTATAGGCAAGATAATTGTTTTATAGATTCTAATTTTTAAGTTTCGGGACAAGAGGCGCGAACTAAGTAGTTTTGTCACAGAAAAATAACAAGCATTTCCCGCCTTCAGTCTAACCTTAATCTCTTCTTCAATTTGGTTTTTTCTAGTTATCGTAGAACCTAGATACCTGAATTTCTCTACCTGTTCAAACATATTACCATCTATATCGATATCACCAGTAGTATCGCCATTTTTTCAGCTAACCATATATTTTGTTTTATCCACGTAACCATATAATTTGTTTTTTCCAAATTAAAATTCTCAAAATCAAAACGGTTTTCTTTTCTCTTTTTTATATTAAGTTTTTGTCGAAGTTTCGCGATTACTAATTCATGATCCGACCCACATTCTGCTCCGCGATAAGACCGTACATTAATAATACTGCTTTGCCAGCTGTGTTGTATCAAGACATGATCGATTTGATTTCGTGTTTGCGAATCCGGTGATGTCTAAGTATATTTATGAATATCCTTATGTTTAAACGTCGTACTTTTAATTATCAGGTTTTTCGAGATGGCAAAGTTTATCAGACGGATTCCATTATCATTACTATATTCGTGCAAACTTTCTTTACCAATCGTCGGAATATAAACTTCTTCCCTTCCTACCTTTGCGTTCGCGTCACCTACAATTATTTTCATGCAGTTTCGCGGTAGTTTATCATAAACCCATTCGAGTTTATCGTAAAATTCACTTTTGACTTCATCGTCACTGTCTTCGGTCGGACAATGTATGTTTATTAATGCGATTTTAAACCAACGTCCCTGAAATATAGCTACCGAAATTCTATCACTAAAGAATTGTACGTCCCTCAAAGCGGATAGTAATCTACTCCTAATTAGAAACCCGGTACCTAAACAATGATTCCCGCTTCCTCCGTACCAAATAGTGTACTTTCCTTCCCTCATCGAGCCCTCCCCTGGCCAGCGAACCTCTTGCAGAGCCACGACATCCAAATTGTACCCATTCACCTCATTCGTGACCGATTTTAGCCCCCCTGCTGTGTTTAAACTCCTTACGTTCCACGTACCAATATTTAAATCCCTATATTTCAGCTTGTGCCATGAATCCCCTAAAGCAGTCCCCACCCGGAGACCCGAACGGGGGACTAGTTTACTTCCGGATATTGAGCGTTTTACCTTAGGGAGATCCATGACTATTTGTGGTGTTTGGTGAACTAAAGATATGTGAGTAGGGCGTTCAATCCTACGTCACACCCTCCAGCAAGTCTGGAGGTCCCCTCCCTCCAGCAAGTCTGGAGGTCCCCTCTCATTGTTGGTCAGCGAGTCCATCGGACTTAGCCGGGAGGAACTTCCAAGGAATTTCCACCGACCATCCCCACATCCGCCACCCGTGGGACGCTCCCCATACGCGATAATGAGCCCGCGCGAGGACATGTATTTTATTTTATGGTATTTTATTATAATATTTAATATAGTATTACTTGACACTGTCGTCACCACCTATGCCCATGTTACGTGTATCCTATCAGTTAATAACAATCCATCTATTGCATCCCAAACTCTTCAATCACACATCACAAGTTTTGAAAAATGGTGTCAAAACTGGAGGATTAAAATAAATTCCAATAAATCCCATCAAATTACCTTTACTCTTCGTCGTAAACCTATGACTTCCTGTCATACAGTATCCTTCAATAATAGCCCACTTATCCCTGTTGAACAAATCCGATACCTAGGACTTCACCTGGACAAACAAGTCACTTGGATATTGGATATACACCCCATACCAGACTGAAACTACTAGAAACCGCCCGACGTTTTCGACTACTGCAGCACTTACTAGACAAACGCTCTAAACTTCCAACTATTTACAATCCCTCTCGTATCCAACCCCTACAATCCAAAATCCTTCGTAAAATCCTCCATGCTCACTACTTTGTCACAAATCATCCATAACGATCTTAATGCACCATATGTTTCCGATTTAGCTCAATCCAGATACCTTTCCTTCCATAATAAACTTCTGAACCATCCGAACCCTCTTATTTCCGACCTTGCTTCCTTTCTATTCCTGATAAGCCTCCGAGGCGTCTGAAAAGAAGATGGCCTCGGGACCTTCTAATATAGAAATATTTCAATTATATAATTGGAGTGCTATCAATGGGTAGTTTCTCTTCATGTTGTACATGTCATGTTACTTGTTTGAAAATTACTTGTATTTATCATTTATGCAGTTGTAAATTTCAATAATAAAAAAAAGTATTACTTGATGCCATGGAAGAGGTGGATTGGAGACTTTGCTTGATCCTGGTCCTTCAAATCGGAGGGAACAACTTTAATTGACATTTCGTTTACACTTTCAGTCACTTAAATAAAAATTGTTATATATACCTGATGAAAATATTTGTTAAACAAATTTTATATTTCCATTTCGGTGATTGTGAACAGTGAACTCCCCCTTTCCCATCAAACCCTTCCCCTTCTCCACTTTCTCTTCAAAATACTAAATTGAATAAATATTTATTTTACTGAATCATATGAGATAGGTTATTGAAGATATAAAAAGAATTGTGTATGATAAAACATGAAAATTATTATGTCTTACGATTGTCATGTTAAGAAAATATTTTGAAAAGCTATAGTTCAAAACCTACGAGTTTTTTTCGGTTTCAAAATTAAATTTAAAGTATTAAATTTAATTTATTAATACAATATTTTTTTTCGGAAACATGTTCCTTAATGGTAAAAATAGGCAAAAACTGCAAACATTTAGCATTTTGTTGGATATTCTAAAGTGATCCAGGAGTTCACTGAGCTCGAAAATGTGGTTTCTGCATCTCAGTCACAACGAATAAACGAAAAAAAAAAAAGGAAACCTTCTACCACCACTTGATGCAACTTACAATGCAAAAGATTAATAAACTAATTTGGCAGGTCGCAGCTCAGATGAAGCTTAGTGAACACTAAGAACACAAAAATGTTGAAAAAGAAAAGGTGATTGATTGAAAAGATTGGTTTGATTTCAGGTTTTTTTTCTACGTCTCCAGTTGTAATTAGGATCATCTTGGTTCTGGAAGCACCAGCGGATGCAGCCGGGGGTACCCCCTTTTCCTAGAAGTTGGAAAAAAGTTCCAAAAGGCAGATAGTAGGGTAGAAATGCCGGTTCTACTCCACTTTAATCCCAGA